CGGTTTCCCTCCGCACGGGTCGCACCTCACGGTCAACGAGGCGCCCACTCTGTGGGATGGGTGACCCCTCTTTTTACTGCACCTGAGGTCAGCGGTGGAAGAAAAGATAGAAGAAGAAAGAAAGGAGGAAGGAGAAGAGGAAGATACACCAAAGTGGGTGTCGCACGCGAATCCCAGAGGGTTGGGGTCCGTGTGCGACACTCCGCCTTTGAGGGGGTTGCACCTTCTGCAGACAAAGCAGTGGGTCTATTTATATCCCCCCGACCAACTGGGGGTGTAACCATGTATGAGACATGGGTCCACCACTATGGTCCTGAGTCAAAATCTGCATCAATGGAGGGGAAATCGCCCTCGTCTCCAACACCAAAGAAGGAAAAGTGGAACATTGATGCTATCAGTTTTTTGGGACCAAGAAGGAGTGATTATGACAGACTATCTTGAAAATGGATATACGATCTCCGAAGACGGTTATTCTATCCAGCTAAAAAAATATTACAAGAAGCTATAAAAGAAAAAAGCAGAGGAAAGATCGGGAAAGGCATTTTGTTGCTTTACGACAACGCGTCAGCACACACTTCAAGGAAAGCTGCAAAAACTGCACGAGAAAGTTTGGTTATGAGATTTTGCCACATCCACCCTATTCTCCAGATTTAGCCAGGTCTGACATTTTTTCCTTCCCCAAATTGAAAAGGGTGTAAAAGGAAGGCATTTTGAAAGTTTCAGACTTTCATCAACAGATGTATGAGGAGTATCCAGAGAATTAAGTGGCAGGATAGAATAAGAGATGAAGAGCTATGGGAAAGGACAGGACAAAAGGATATAGAAGTAGAAATAGGACTAAGAAAGTCCCGTTGGATGGGGCACGCCTTCAGAAAGCCCAGCGGAAACATCACAAGACTGTCACTGCAATGGAACCCACAGGGAGCACGAGGCAGGGGTAGGCCACGAGAGACATGGAGGAGATGTGTGGAAAGGGACAAGAGAGAGAGATGAAGCTCACTTGGAACGAGCTAGAAAGGATGGCCCTGGATAGAGATAAATGGAAGGAGCTTGTATGTGGCCTATACCCTGCCAGGGGTGAAAGGCAATTATTGATTGATTTTGAAAGTTTAGATGAGGTCAAAGCGGTAGAGAGCTCGTTTTCTGACAAAGAGATGGTCTTCTATTCTCAAAGTCTTTTTGAGGTCACACACAGATGTTAGAAATGTATAGCTGCTGGAGGTGACTACCTAGAGAAAGATTAAGATCAATATCAAATTTCAGCCTTCCATCGTTATTCCTTCATGGTCAGGTAAAAGACTTTTGGTATGCCACTCGTATTAAGTTCAAGTCCTTCTTAGATTATGTTTATGCTTTTTTTTCTAAAGTCTGGACTCCTCGTTGTTGTTTCCTTGTTCTGCGTTCAAATGACAAACACTTTGATAAAGAAATGTCAGTGATTTAATTTTAAAATAGAGGTTGCTATGAAGAATAAAGATTGCTACAGTACGGAGGATGCCTTGTCATTTCCTAATTTCTTTTGTTAGTTTGTTCTGATAAATAGCAGCACGTCGACATGATATAGACCATTTGGTGCAGGTGAAAAGTGAAACAGACATAGACAGACAGATAGAGATAACAGAGAGACAGAAACGAAGTAGACCGGCTTTTGTGGTGAAGTGCTGTAATCGCTTTTCGATTCCACGCAAAAGAGCTGAGTATGTTTTCCCTCTGGGGAGAATTTATATCGAGTATCTTAATCTTTCTGATTCAATGTTCCATCCCTGTCAGCCCAAGTTTGGCCACCACAGGCTGGGTCAAAGCCCGTCTCCTAAATTATCTTAATTGTGTTGATGGGGTGTAAAAACACCAAAATGTACAAAGAAAAATGAGGAAGGACACCCTCCAACCCCTTGCTAGTATAGATTCAACGGCGTTACATTGTAATGCTGTAAGGTGACACGGGGGCGCGACCTACGAATTTACGTCCAAATTTACCTCCGATAATACCCAAACAAAAGAGTAGACAGCCTTGAACCCCCTCCCCCGAAAAAACAACAGCAACAAAACAAAAATAACAACAACAACAACAACAACAAACAAACAATAAAAACCACCCCTAAAACAACAGCAACAACAAAACAACAAAAACAAAACAAAATAAAACAAAAACAATAACAAAACATCCTTTTAGAGTAAGAGGGATACACTTTGGTATTATAAGTGTTTCACACCCCTTTAAGCACGATACGGTTTTTCAATCAGGTGAGAACTCCTCTCCATCTCATACAAAAGACTAGTTACATTCTTGTGCTCTGGCTGGCCTCCGTTAGGAGGGCTGCATTCTGCCGCAGGCAGACAAGTACGAGGCAACCTCGTGTGGCCAAAACCAGTGTACATGCGGCCCGGTCTTGCGTTGTTCTCCATAAGTGGGCCTCGATGTGCTTCCCCCCGCGGGCACTCATACAGTGCGTGCTGCAGGTCGTCAGGACTTGTGCCAAACGCCAGACAGGAATCATTGGGAGCTGGACCTATTGCATGGAGATACGTCTGCAGAATGGGGCTCTTCGCGTTGCATCTTAGCTGCGATAACACTCTTTTCTGTCAGACGGTTAGGTCTTTTTCTTTGTCCCTCTCCGGTGGTGGCTTCACCTTTCCCCCGACAGAGTTGTGCACTCGCAATTATGTAACGCGAGATGCATGAGTTTGCTGACTCGAGATCGACTGGAGTGTTGGACAGGTCGAGGCGGCCTCCATCGTTGACCAAGGTGTCAGCACGGTTGTCCCCGTGGATGTCGCAAAGTCGAGGTATCCATTGTATGTGTAGGTGTCCCTGGATTTCACAGTAGTGGCAGATAGTGGTCCACATTTTGTCCTCCATCTCAGTTCGAACTGCCGTCACTCCGGACATTAAACGTGGAACAAGTGACTAAGAGTCTGTGAAGATGTCGATTCTTTGAAAACGTGGTTGTTTTTCAAGCCATTGCAGTGCGCGGAAGAGGGTGGTAGTTTCAGCTCGGTAGCTGCTTCCGTGTAGTCCCGCGGGCACGGATACGCATGTTTCCTCCCCAGAAGATTTGTCTTGACACCAGTATCCTCCTCCACATAACCTGTAGCCGTCGGTGGCATGGCCGTCGGTGAAGATATCGAGGTCGGACGTAGGTAATCGGCGTATGGTCTCGAAAGCTGCTTCACGTCGCATATTAGGTGGATCTGTTTTTGTCGTAAACACTGCAAATTTGAAATTGATTGTGAGGTTGTAGTATGTCTTCCAAGGGGGAGTTGTCTTCACTGGCCCTAGGGGCTCTTGGATTAGACGTTCTAGTCCCGCGTTATTAGAGCTCTGTCGGCCCATTTTCCCTCCAACTGTTGATGGACTTTAAGTGTACTTTTGATGTTCTTTCAGCTGAGGCACGGATCGGGTTGTCTTCTGGGACTCTTCTTGCTCTCTCGTATACCACAGCAGTTGCAATGTTAGACTTAACCTCAAGTGGGATGAGGCCAGTTTCGTTTGTGAGCAGCATTGCATTTGAGCTTCTCGTATCCCCGGTAATTATTCTAGCTGACAGGTTTTGAATAACGCTTAAAGTCTCGCGATTTGTCTTGGCCGTTGCTAGGTACCAGGCTGCGTGGGTATATCATTCAGAAAACAATCTTTAAACCAGGTTACTGTCCAACCTTCAAAGGTTGGAGGACTGTTCCACCCTCCCTGCCTACCAGTGCCTACTAGGGCAAGGAGAGGCATAATTCCATCAAGACAAATTGAACTGTCACCCGAACCAGTCAGGATATCACCTCTAGAGGAGGAATCATAAGTTTGATAAAGTCTGGCATGCAACATAAAAACAATACCAAACCATACCAGGCCCAAAACAATAACACCATGGAGACACACTCCTTTAATATCTACAACAGACACGAGGAGTTCCAAATTACAAATGTATACATTCCTCCTATCACTGACCATGCAGAAGATCAAAGAACACAACACTTTATCCCAGCATACTGGCCAACCTCAGAAAACTCTATGATACCTGGGCACAGCCACTCTTGGAACTTGTACCAGCCCTCATGCTGTAGGACATGATATAGAAAATTGGGTGGACTCCAATGAAATGATGGTTATAAATGACGGGTCTCACACAAGAGTTAACCCAGCCACAGGCGGCCTGTCAACGCCTGACGTCTCCACAACTCATACGAACATTATGCAAAAGATAGAATGGGAAGTTCTAGAAAATCCCTTGAGATGTGACCACCTCCTCCTTCAAATTACTATCAAACTATCAAAAGGAAATACAAAACCAAACCCTAGAAAACATCTGATCTTGCGCAAGGCAAACTGAGAAAAATTCTCGGAACTACTGGAGTTAGAGTTCATCGAAAAGCTATCAAAAATTGCTCAGGCAAAATCCACTGATGCCAAAAACAGTATACTGACTGATATCATCGCCAAGATAGCAAAATACTACAACGCCCAATTGATGCAATGGAACTAGAGCCGCATGGTGGAACTCAGAAGACAAGAAGCTGTTACCAAGCGATCTCGACTTTAAAAAAAGCTAGCAAATAACAATGAGCTTGATTTGTGAACTATGGTGGGAACAGTGTACCAAGATCAGAAGCATCATCCGTGAACCGTGGAGCAAAAAGGAAAAGCTGGCAAGATTACGTAGCGAGACTAGACTTGCGCAGCAACCTAAGCAAAAATCAAGAATCTCTGTCTCTCTGCTGGAAAGGCTAAGGCCGAAAGAATCGAAACAGATTGTCTGCTAAACTATAAGGACCTACATTCGTTTGATTTGGGGGAAGGGGAGGGGGTGTATAACGTTTAGAGTTCCATTGTGCTTGGCTGGGATAGAAACTCACCGCAGTTTCCCTCACAATGGAGCTCCTGAGTTCTTCCTCCACCTTCCTTAGTGCCATCATCAGATTGCTGGCCTCTGTCTTCTGTATGCCCAGCTGGTCCACAGCTCGCTCAAGTGTATTCTTCTGGGCGTTATTCTCAATCTCTAGCTGAGCTAATTGACTTCTAGCCTTCAGTTCCGCTTTCCTTAACGACTGAAATACATACAAGAACGCTCAGACGTAAGCATTAATATTTCTCGAATAGAAGCATTATAATATAAAGGTTTTTTCTATCCAAGCATCAAATTTTAAAAAACCCCAACAGATCTTTTATGTTTACCATCGAAATAGTTCGAAACATTTAAGGGGTGGACTGTTCCACCAGTGCCTACCTGGGCAAGGAGAGGCATAATTAGTACAGAAAAGAACATCCACAGAATAATAAAAGTGAAATATTGTGTCAATTTGTTAGTCCCTGAGCGTCTAATCAGCTGCTTGCACTGTATGCTTCCCGGGAAGCTGAGAATGTTTCTGTGTGTTCTATGGTCTGCTGTGGTAATAAATATAGTGTAAGGTGCATAGATTCAACTTCATGTCTGTGCTCCTCTACGGTTGCGAAACTTGGAAGACAACAAAGACCTTACTGAATAAAGCCAAGACTTTCATCGACAGATGTATGGGGAGTATTCTAAGAATTAAGTGGCAGGATAGAATAGGAAATGAAGAGCTGTGGGAAAGGACAGGACAAAAGGATATAGAACTAGAAATAGGACTAAGAATGTGGCGATGGATGGGACACACCTTAAGAAAGCTCAGCGGAAACATCACAAGCCAGTCACTGCAGTGGAACCCACAAGGAGCACGAGGCAGGGGTAGGCCACGGCAAACACGGAGGAGAAGCGTGGAAAGGGACGTGAGAGAGATGAAACTCACTTGGAACGAGCTTGGAAGGATGGCCCAGGACAGAGATAAATGGAAGTAGCTTGTATGTAGCCTATACCCCTTTTTTTTTAGTAGAGGGTTTTACTGCTCTCGCAACTGCATATGGTCATATGAGCACCAGGCCTATACCCTGCAGGGGGTGAAAAGGCATTGACGATGATAAAAGCTTGCTGTTGAGAGGGGGTTGAGGATTATTTTTGGTGTTTCCATTATAGGCCTGGTAGACTCCATGAAGAAATCTTCGAGCGAGAGCGAGGCTTTTTTTCGGCTCTATTGTCATTATACTTAGAAGCACCTCCACACGTCCAAATAACTTGATTGCCGAGTAGAGGTGTCTCTTTGCAGTGACTTTGGTGTCAACTGCAGAGCTTCCCCATTGGTTGTGACTGTCCTCATTGAGAACGGCACCCCCCCCCCCTTTATGAAGGGGACGGCTTGCCACTTTGAGTACCTGATGATGATGATAATGATGATTATCATTATTAAGGGTCGCTTAATGGTGGAGAGAAAAAAAGACAGACGGACAGCGCAATTTACAATCCATTAAATTTATAGATTAAAATAGCATAAAAGCAGCCACGATTACTCTAAACAATTAAACCGCTTTATTCATTTATTTCCAAAATCTTTTTTTGTTGTTGACATCTTAAACTATTACAGTATAGATTTATTTAGTTGATTTTTTCAGGGGCAATTTCAATTCTTTGACGCGATCAATTCAAAAACACATGGAGTACGAGACACAAACCAGTAAAACTTTCTCTTGGTCATCCATTGCCTTCATCATTGACTTTCCCTCCTTAGCGGTGGACTCCAGGTGTTTCTGTAGGATTCTCGTGGTTTCCTGTGAATGTAAGTTGTTATATTTTTCATTGTTCTTATGGGTCGTTTTAAAAAAAATGTCACATTTTAGATTCTCATTATTTCAAAAAATAAATTTTTATGAAAAGTTTCGAAATATTATTGATGAAATAAATCAACAATCTATAGACATAAATGTGAAATTTCTGAGCTTAATTCCGTCAAATTAGAGCGTCACGGCAACTTTTGGGCTAGAGTCCTAGTAAAAAGTTATCTCCTGTTACCAACAGAAATCATAGAGTTGTGTTACTGGAATAGGTTTTGGATGGGTTAATGCACTATAATATGTTGGTGAAACTAGGTCTATTCATCAGGAAAACAATTTTTAAAAAGCACTTCAGTTTAACAATCCACGCACAATTATTTCAGATTTAAGTGCCAAATTTAAAAATCAGTGAAAATTTTAGAGTTTCAGTTGGTGATTCTCACTCTAAGATCAAACACATTGTGATCATATGTATTTCTATTCCTTTTAGCAGTAAGGTGAAGCTGATCCCACACTTACTTTTCAAAAACCAAGTTCAAGATTTTTTTAATGAACGTAACAGGAGGGAAACGTGGGTAACAGGAGGGAAAGTGGTTAACAGGAGGGAACATAAAAGACTGTTATCAGGTTTTAACAACAAAACTCATCAAGAATGAAACACTTATATTAGTGATGTCATCTAAGGGAATAACCGAAGAATGGATGGGAATGTTGAAGGCAAGTAATATATTCTGTCGAGACGTTATTTACTGGGTGTAGTTACCAGTGTTAAAAAACCCGGAGGCACCAAACAGTAAGTGGGCGAAACGAAATGTTTTGGACGCGTAATGAGAATAGAGCCACAACTGCCAGCCTCAAAAGTCTACAAGATGTGATTCGATGGCTTGGGAACAAAAGGAAGGCTAATAAAAAGATGGATCGATGGAGTCAAAGACATCCTTCAAAGGCACACTATGCCGATCCGAAAAGCAACACACCTGGCCCATGTCCGAGAACTGAATCTGTCCTCGACACCACGCGGTATAAGAGACCATATTTTAAAAAAGAGTAAAGTAATGTTACCAGTGTGTAGTGTAGACAGCTGATTTTGCAAAGCCCCAACGTGTGTGCTTTGTATTTCCTCTTCCATTTTACTCAAACTATTTTGAGCGACGCTAGCATGTACTCTTGCTTCATTGGCTTGAAGATTGCTCCATGTCTTTCCTTAAACTGATGGTCAATTAGAATCGTATAACTTGTACTGTCGAAACATTTGCTGGAATAAAGCCCACAATGGCATCAGCCTCCCAGTTTTTGTTCTCTTCTTAGTGATTCTTATTTTCTTCTATTTACCTTTCGGGATTTCTATTTTCTTTCGTTACTATCCATTTCTGCCACGTTGCAGTGAGTCTCATGTCTTCAGAGTAGGCTAGAATTGGATCCTTTTACTTTGCTTCATCCTTCCTCTTGCATCACTAGATGTTGGGGGACCTCTATAACGCTATCCAACTAAGTTTTGCGTGGTCTGCACCTGCCCTTGTATCCGGACATATTAGAGTTGTAAGCTTGTGAAGCTGGGTGATTTGGTGACACTCTCATCAGATGACCAAACCACTTCATTCTTTGATGTTCTTGTTCCATAACCGGTTTATTCACTGTCAAATTTCGTTTATCAGTCTTTCGTCTTCCTGTTTTATATCGTAAGTCAGTGTTGGAAGGAATATGCTGTGAATAAGTCGTTGTGTTTTTATTTCCATTGCTCGGTGTTTATGGGTGAGTAGTGCTGACTATTTATAGGTTTCTGCATTTGCTTTTGGGTCCTGATTTCAATTTTCCTATGTCCAATCTTCCGTCATGTGTAAGCATGCTCCCAAGCTATTTGAATTCCTCAACTTGTTTAGGTAGTGTCCCGTTGATGGTGATGTTTAGTAGTGGGACTGGGTTTCTAAGATCACACAATCCGTGCATGCATGTTTGGGCCAAATGAGAACAGGAATAACCTTCAGATGAACACAATGCATAAACGATGCGTCAGCTGTCAACTCTGTGTTTCACAAATCTTGCACGCACAAGTCTTTTGATCTTATTATTAAATAGCTTCCGCTGCCAAAAGCTTGTTAAACAAATGTGTCAACTGCTCTGGTACTGTCTGTACAGATGTTCTACGATGTCATTTAACAAACGGTTTTAGTTTTTTTTAAATCACTTTCAAGGTAACAATATTTTTAAACCGTTCAAAATTCTCGAGTTGTCAGGCCAAAGGAAAACAATCCTAAAGTGCACTTTATCCAACTACAGAGTTGAAAGCACTTGTTTGTTCAGTTTCCTTTTGTTCTTTATATTTAGAGTTCTACAAAATTAAAATTTGCTCTGTATTTTGTACTTTATTAATAATTATCCAGAAGCCAACATTTGAATACTTTTGTTTTCTTTTATCGGTCTTCCAATTCATCCAGGAGAGCAAAAGGAAATTTTAGTATTCTTTTCACTGTTTTTTTGCTCTCAGATAAGGTTTTCATTTTTCAACTTTGATTTTCTTTTTCTCTACTCTGTTTTCATTGCAAACCTTTACTTTAGTTTAGGACAAAAATAACACACTTGAGGATGGGGCATCTGCTGTTTTGTCAGCGGCACAGTTTAATTTCCTCTTCAGATTTGTGTCTTTTTTCGTTTTTCTCCATTCCACACATGCTGCCAAATGGTCTCTTGAAATCATACAAACGACAGGTTTCCTTTCCTTTGTTCTTTGTCTTTGATGCAGTTCTGCTTTTCATACTGCATGTCGTGCAGCGTCTTCACTGGGTTCTGGTTTCACTTCTCTTTCTCTCCTTTATTACTTTTTTCAGCAGGAGTCAGCTTTGTCTCTGGCGAATAAAAGCAAATATTAATAAACATTTATGTTTGAGAAATCAACTTATAGGGCCTGCTCTTCATACAATCAATCTAGATCTAGCATAAGTGGCATAGTGCTGAAGTCAACTAAGCTAAGCTGATTTCATGTGTGACAAATTTTCTGCGAAGAAGATTCTTATTTGTTACTTCAGTCTACATCTAAGTCTCTGCGACAACGCGAAATTCACTTCTAAATCTGCAACTAAAATGACCCATTTTCAACCCGAACTTTGGTCAGTTTAGCTCTCCCCTTGGTTTTATGCACCCCGCATAATTTAGCAAAATTTGATCATTTTTTGCATAATTTCTGATTATAGTCCTTCATCATTCTTTTTTTAAATTTAACAGATTCGCATAATTTCATATTATGTTTTGGTTCATTTTTCGTAATTTCATAATTTTTCTTTCATAAAACGACGGGAACAGGTTTAGCTACCACTCCTACTTGCTATCTTGTATTCTCTCCTGTTACTCTTAATTCCGTCCTGTTATTCAAAGATAAAAATTACAATTCAGGTGTTCTGTTGAAAAACACAAACATGCCTTTACTTTTAACCTCTTTCATTTACTCTATTAAGCATAGACTATCCTACATTCTAACCCAAACTGTGGTGAGTTTAGATATTGAGCACCTTCCCTTCTCTCCTGTTACTTTTTATTCTCTCATGTTACCAAAACCCGGGTAACAGGAGGGAAAGTAACAGGATGGAATTCTGTACATCAATACCCTGACGACCACTCACTGGGTAGAGCTCATGTTATGGATTGTCTTACCATTAAATGTAACCATGGCAGACTTCCTAACCAAAGGAGAGTGTATCAGATTTCTGTATAATAAGTCGTTATAGACCCCGGTAACAGGAGGGACATTTATGCTCAAATACTCACCATGTTGGGTTGAACTTGACTCTGTATCTTTCAATCGTGCATTGCATGAGCGCCTCTGTCTCATGTTAATATAAAGGAATATGAAGGTAGTCTTCACTCGCAAAATCTCAAAGAAATACATTTATATCTAGGGACCATTCATCTGTTTGAAATGCTGGGTAACAGGAGAGAACTTTGAAATGGGTTAAGCAAAATATGGAGATAAAGCTATATAACAAATATGGGTCAAGGACGGGCACCAAGATTTTTTATGCTTCGGTACTGCTGTCCAATACTCTGTATAGCTGTGAAATATTTAATCCCTGGTGCCATGATTTTTATCCCTAAGCATGTTTTAAAAAACCTATGCGTATTGCGGAACTTGCCATTTTTTGCCTACTGAGCAAGATTTACAAAAGAGCAGTAACATTTCTATGACTTGGGCAGTTTTGAAAACCTGATTTTTAAGGTCAAGGAACGTTTTACCTTGTTCATGAACATAGTCAAAGGCAATTCTAAGCATTATTTAATATTGGTATCGAAGGAATTAGGTCTGGAATGAGAAATTCAAAAAATGCGACATTTTTTTTGAAAATGACTCATATAAAAACAGCCATTGTTCATAAGGTTATATGAGTGCACGGAACACGAGTTGGTTGCATTCACGCCAATTCACAGCACGACCTGGTTAAGATAAAAATATCGATTAAAATGTTTAAAATGTGTGGTAAGATTTCGAGCTTAAGAGAAAACACTTTAAACAATGTTTAAAATAACGTTATTGAATTTTACTGTAAAGGTCAAGGGTCTTTATGAAATTGAGAATTCTGTTGGAATCGACGACGTAGAACAGATTTTGCCTTTTTTTTCGCATTTAAGATAATTCTTTAGCGTCTCTCCGAAATCAGGACATTCTGTTAAGATGTGTGTCGCATCCGACATAGAACGGTTTTTCGTCTCCATGAAGGAGGTATTTTTGTGTCAGGGAGGTGTGTCCGATACGTAATCGAGTAAAAATGACTTCGTCTCTTCAGGAGAGGCCCGACGGTTTTGGTTTGGGCATGGTGGTTGTGAAGTTTATTGTTGATTTGTTTCTTCCAATGTGTATCAGACAGATTGAAAGATGTTTGTCGTTGATCCCAACAGAAGGGACAGTGATTCTTTCGCCAGAAGATCCACTTGCTCGTTTCCTCGGATTCCCACATGGCTAGGTAGCCACGAGAACACGATACTTTTCCCGGTTTCAGTCAAAGCGTGTAATTTCTATTGCAACATAACTATTGTTGGGTGTAAGAGTGTGTAGTTTGTAAGTGTGGTGATGCAAGACAGAGAGTCGGATAGGAAAAAAATTGTAAGGAAAATGTCAATGGCAGAGGCCTCTGCAGAGACAATTGTTGATTGGGGATGGAGTCTCGTCTAGTGTGCACTGTTTGAGGATAGTGCAACGGCACCCACAGTCCGATTTAGAGCCGGCTGTGAAGATTAGCTCCACACCGGGGTGTTTTTCTATACGTTTTTTTAAATTGCGCTTTCAATATTTTGGTGTTTGTAGATTCTATGTTGTGTATTGTCAGCTGTAAGTCTACTTTTGCCTTTGTGAGGTGCCATGGAGGGAGGTCAGGGAAAAGACATTTTTGGATGTCTTATTTGACAAAACTATGTTTTTGAGGTCGTCAAGGTCACTGAGGCCGAAGGGATAGATGAGTTTTTCGTTGTATTTGATTTTTTCTTTATTGTGTCTGCGTTTGCTCTGAAAATACAGTCGTGTTGAGCTTTTTAAAATTGGGTATTGTAGTGAGAGTTGTGAGCGTTGAGTGTGAGTGGTGGTATGTTTGCCTCTGCCTGGAGGCTCTCCACTGGAGAAATGCGGAAAGCCCCCGGGCGAGGCGGAGTCCTTGGTTTTGTACTGGGTTTAGCATTTTTAGGACGTGGGGTTTTGCCCATCCATAGACATGACAGCCGAAGTCAATCCAGGATCTGACAAGGGAAATGTAATGGTGGAGAAGGTGTTTTGAGTCCTCGCCCCACTCTGGATGCGATAAGAATTTTAAAGCGTTTAACGCCTTTTGGCACCTCTCTCAAGGTCCTTTGTGTGTGGGATGAATGTGAGTTTCTTGTCGAATATAATTCCGAGGAAACGAGCCTGGTACTGGACGGGAATCCTTTCCCCGTATAGCGTCATATCCGGCTGCATCACAAGTCTGCCTGATCTGCAGAAGTGCACTGCAACCCTCTTTGACAGGGAAACTTGAGACCGTTATTATTTTCCCACTTTTCAGGTTTGTTTAGATCCATAGATCTTAGCTGATATAACGAGCTATCTATGTTATTTTAGAGTGTCTTAACGATGGAATCTATTTCAATTTCGAATAGAAGAGGAGAAAGGATGCTTCCCTGAGGAACACCTTCCTCCTGTTGGTGGGGGTTTGAAAGGGAGGATTTGACATGAACCTGGAAGGAACGAATCCTCAGAAAATTGCCAATGAAGGCTGGGGTGCCAAGAGCGTGCAAGTCTCTGAGAATGTCATACTTCCAGGTTGTGTCGGAAGGCTTCTTCTAGGTTAAAAGAAAAGATGGCGATCGTGTGGCTTCCTTCGGCAAACGTCTCGCGTATAAAAATCTCCAGGCGGACCAGTTTTCTTGTATCCCCACCCGCAATCGAGCCCAACAAGAGGACACATAGTTCGGATGACCACAGCTGTTCCAGGGCTACCCGGAGCTATACTACACACGACAGTGTACGAACCCTCCCGTCAAGATTGACCTAGGGACTGAGGGGGTTTCAGCTTCAAACCGATTGAGAGGCATATGCCGTGCTACCCTCACGTCTAAGAGGAAAACCTGGGCCAAACAGGTATGTTGGCGAGATACAGTCCGCTCCACCTCCAGATACCCGGTTTCCCTCGGCAGGGGTCGCACGTCACGGTCAACGAAGCGCCCACTCTGTGGGAAGGATGACCTCAAGCTTTTCAGCACGTGAGGTCAGCTCTGGAAGAGATTGGAGAAGAAAGAGAGAAGGAAGGAGAAGAGAAAGACACGCCAAAGTAGATGTCGCATATTGATCCCAGACGGTTGGGGTCCGTATGCGACACTTCGTCACTGAAGGGGTTTCACCGCCTGCACACGAGGCAGTGGGTTTATTTATATTCCCCCATTCCTCGGGTGCGGAAGAAGAACAACAGCAACAATAATAACAGCAACAATAAAAACAACATAGTTGAAGCACATGAAGCACACGGAGAAAGGCTGCCTATTGGTGCGATCACAACTCACTACCGTGGCGACCAGTCACTACTTGCAAAAAAATTCAAGACTGGTTTCTTTTCTGGGCTGCCTCACTACAAAAATAGAATAGACAACATGTCGGACTCATTCTGTCCATTGTGCAGCAAGGAGCCCAAGATCTGGTAGTAGTAGTAGTACTAGTATAGGGTTTTACGGCGCTCGCAACTGCTAAGGTCATATGAGCGCGCGAAACACAAGTTGTTTACTTTCGCAAAAGTTCACTGCACGGTTGGTTAGCTTTCAGCATTTAAAATGTTAAAATGTTTAAAAATCAGTGTAGATATATATAAATTTTCGATCTAAAACAATTTTTCAAGTAACATAAAAAATTTAAATAGTATCAATTTCACTCTACAACTCGCCATAAAGGCCAATGGCCTTTATAAAATTCAAAATTCTGCTGGGAACAACGACGGAAAAAATGTCTTGCAATTTCTTGCATTTATAATATTTCCTTCGGATCTCTCCAAAGTCTTGACATTCGGTTAAGATGTGTCTAATGGTAAAATCTGTGTTGCATCCAACACAGAACGGCTTCTCGTCTCCTTGTAGGAGGTATTTGTGGGTCAGGGCCGTGTGTCCGATGCGCAATCGAGTAAAAATGACTTCGTCTCTTCTGGAGAGGTCCGAAGGATTTCGCTGTTCTAGTTTGGGTTTTATTTCAAATAGTTTATTGTTTTTCTGCTTTTCCCAGTGGCTCCCCCACAGACTGGAGGTGTACTTTTTGACTTTATTTCTAAAGTCAGTCTGTGGGAGAGTGTTTGTCGTTGATCCCAGCAGAAGGGATGAAGCTTTCTTCGCCAGGTCGTCTACCTGCTCGTTTCCTCGGATGCCCACATGGCTAGGTATCCATGCAAACATGATGTTTTTTCCTGTTTCGGATAGTGTGTGGATTTTCTGTTGTAGCCTAACTATTTTTGGATGTAGGAGTGTGTAGTTTGTGAGTGAGGTGATTTAAGCCAGAGAGTCAGAAAGGATAAGGAAAGATTTGTTAGGAGAATTTTCTACAGAGTCCAGTGAGATGTCAATGGCAGTGGCCTTTGCAGAGAAAATGGAGGCTTCAGAATGGAGTCTCCTCTGGTGTGTACTGTTGGAAGATAGGGCTGCGGCGCCCATTTCATTGTCTTTTTTGGAGCCATCTGTGAAGATGAGCTCCGCACCGGGGTATTTATCTATTAGTTTTCTGTATTCTGCTTGAAAAGTTTTGGTGTTTGTACTTTGTTTGTTGTGTGTGGTCAGCTGTAAGTCTACTTTTGCCTTGGTGAGGTGCCACGAGGGAGGTCGGGGAAAAGAATTTGTTGGATGTCTTGTTTGGAAAAGTGTAAGTTTTTGAGGTCCTAAAGGATTCTGAGGCCGAAGGGTTTGATGAGTTTTTCGTTGTTTTGGAATCTGTTTCTGGTTTCTGGGTTTGTTTTAAAAATGCACTCGTGCGCTGGATTTTCCGGTGTTGAGCTCTGTTTAACTGCGTATTGTAGTGAGAGTTGTGTGCGTCTGAGTGAGAGTGGTGGTATGTTGGCCTCGGCCTGGAGGCTCTCCACCGGAGAAGTGCGGAAAGCCCCCAGAGCGAGGCGGAGTCCTTGGTTCTGTATTGGGTCTAGCATTTTTAAGATGTGTGGTTTTGCCGATCCGTAGACTTGACAGCCGTAGTCAAGCCTGGACCGGACAAGGGAGATGTACAAGTGGAGAAGGAGTTTTGAGTCCCCGCCCCACTCCGGATTCGATAGAATTTTCAAAGCGTTTAACGGAGCACTGGCTGCAGAGATGACCCGCAACGGAGGTCCGGTGGTGGCATCTCTTTAGAGAGGATTTAAGGAGGTTGAACTGCCTCACCAGCTGCAAAGAGTACGCTCTTTGGCGCTCCAAACAATTCAGATGGATAGGTCCCCCTCCCCCCCCCCCTAACAATAACAGCAACAACAACAACAAGAAAAAGAAGAACAAGAACAAGAACAAGAGAGAATGAAACAAGAAAGGCAACAAAAACAAAAACAATAGCATCAACGGCACCATCAATAACGACAACTGCATCATCAACTATAAACGTCCATATAGGAATGAAGTAATATTGTCCTATCTTAAACATAGTCATTCAATCACCAGTTGGGAGAAGGCATCGGCTGTAAGGACCTGGTTCTTCCCCCTGAGCAAGAACACAGTGTCTCTGTATTTGGTCACCTCCTGGTCCAGCTTCTTTGTGTTATGGATGAGCGATGCCATGTTCTTTTCACCTTGTGCGATGGTCCGTACGTGGTCATCACACTGTACAGCAAAGGAGGAAATAGTAGTGATGAGAACTTGTTGGGAGAAAATACACACAAACGTCTGTGAAGATAGGATTGTGTTTCTGTTTTTCCCACTCTCACGTATCTCTCTCTTTCTTCTCTCTCTCCTCTCTCTCTCTCTCTCTCTCTCTCTCTCTCTCTCTCTCTCTCTCTCTCTCACTCGAAGAGAGCAAAACCATTTCTTGGTACAACATACAAAACGCTTTGTACTCTAGAAACAACCATCATCATTATAAAGTGTCAGATCGAAACGGACATAGGCGATAATGGTTCTCCATTCATTTCTCCGCGCAGATGCTTTTTAAATAATCGGTATTATGTTGGTGTGTAAACGTTGCTTTGGGCCTATCACTGCTTCATTTGCCATTTAATTTGTCTCTGGAAAACAAGATGTTCAAAGCCGTTGTGTAAATTCACGCGTTCCGGACACTGCGGGGCTTCCTAAATATTTCTAATAGTGAGTGACTCAAGTGGGATTCCTTCAGTACAACAAACTAAACTTTTTGAACTGTACAATCAAATAAATCAACAAAACCGTTTTATGTAACATACGAAACATTTCTTACATAAAACAAAAACAACAAAAAGCAACAACAACAAAAACATCGTGTATTTATATATATATATATATATATATATATATATATATATATATATATATATATATATATATATATATATATATATATATATATAGATAGATATTTGAATATATAATATATAGATATATAAAATTAAACCCTAACAAGTTAACTTTCAAGTTCACCAAGGCCTGAAATGTCTTTAGTCTGGAGTCCGCATCTAGCTGCTCAGCCCTCAGTGAGTTGTTGCGGGACGTACAATTTTTTAGCTGGACCAGTGTAACATCCAGCGATTTGGCCAGGCTGTCGGCTTTACTGGACGCCAGGGTCAGGCTGGTCATCTCTTTACGGAGTCTGACGTCAGCGTTGATAATTTTCTAGAATAATTGAAACAGTGGTTTAATATGTGCTTATGTGTATGGTTATATAATGATAATAATAATAATAAAAACAATAATAATAAAAACAACAATAATAATAATAATAATAATAATAATAATAAAATAAAATAAAATAATAATAATTATTATTATAATAATAATAATAATAATAATAATAATAATAATAATAATAATAATCTTATTATAATGGAGCTAAGCCCGTTTGTGAGGTCAGTAGGCCTATATACTTTTTTTTAACACAGGTGCCATAAAATTTATAAACAAATGATTTAGTTAAGGATTTTCACAAAGGATTAGGTGGCCATATTTTCAAAGCTCGGAAACGACCTTTCGATTTTTTTAGGTTTGATGGTTTTTCCTGTAAATGGAAGATCTCAGCTGTATTCACTCTGCCAGTAGCTAGAGACTACTTCTGTTTCGGTTTGTGCTTCGTCGTTTGAGCCACTGAAGTGCTTCTACTATTTTCAGATCTAGAATCTCGATATCCAACAGCTTCCGAATTTCCGCATAAATCAGGAAATCCAATTCCTGAAAAAGGCCGAATTTTGCCCGACTGACCGATCGTTGAACTGTTGCACATTTTTTTAAACGGTCTTGACAAGAGATTTTTTAGAAAATTGTGTCGTAAATTTTAAGCCCCCGTGCACTTGTTTTCACGGAGTCGGAAAAGTTCAAGACATTTTTTTGGAAGCCAGTTAGCACAACTGCTCGATACAGCCGATCTACGTTTTCTTCTAGCCTTGACCAGGGTGACGGCGCAAAAAAACCAAAACAAACTCAGACAGAAAACTCCATCTTTTCGTTTTACGGTGATAAACGTCTTGTGCGGGACGCCATATATTCGGATTCATTCTTTTTTGCCAACTCTTCTGCTTTCGCCCTCGACAGTGCTCCGTAAAGTCGAAGAAACCAAGTTGTTTTTCGAAACAATATCCATCGCCGAAGGAAGGCCTTTTCAATATTGGCAATATTCAGCGATCGTAACCCAACAGTACACCCATCCCCACAAAGCCATTGTCTCCACTCACTGACCAACCTAAAACACTCCCACACGACATGCCCTAGTTGGGGCGAGCCTTGAAGAAGTCTTCCACAAGTATCTGAATAGGGTTGTACCGTGAATGCAGAAAAGTTCTAACTTATTCTCAGTACGTATTTTAGTATTCGGTTGTGAATACAAAAAGCATAACAGGGGTTTGAACAGAGTTCTTGAATATCATGCAGGAAAAATCTTAAACTGTGTGGATATAAACATTGTGCGAAAACGACCGAACAAGTTCTGTATCGTCGTTGTAAACTTGAAAGGATCAAGGGTGGAAAAAAAGGACTAGAAAAAATGCCAGCTTTGGACTTAGATCAATCTTCCTGCTCCTGAGAGACAATAGGGTCGACAGTGATGAGCAACAGAATACTGAGAGTGAGACACCAGCGTGGATGGAAAGTAAGTGGAAGGATAATATCACATTGAATTCTCCCCCCCCCCCCCTTCTCTCTCTCTCTCTCTCTCTCTCTCTCTCTCTCTCTCTCTCACACACACACACACACACACACACACACACTCTTTTTCTTTCTCTCCTCTCTCTCTCTCTCTCTCTCTCTCTCTCTCTCTCTTTCTCCCTCTCGCTCTTTCTTTCTTTCTTACTCTCTGTCTGTCTGTCTGTCTGTCTGTCTGTCTGTCTGTCTGTCTGTCTGTCTGTCTGTCTGTCTGTCTGTCTGTCTCTTTCTCTCCTCTCTCCTCTCTCTCTCTCTCTCTCTCTCTCTCTCTCTGTGTGTGTGTGTGTGTGTGTGTGTGTGTGTGTGTGTGTGCGCGCGTGAGAGCACGCATACGCGTGTGTGTGTTATGTCTTTAGCCCATAGTCACAGGAGTCGAGACTTGGGTACACCATTATGACCCAGAGAACAAAAGACAATCAAAAGAATACAAGCACACTGGTTCACTTAGCCTCAAGAAGTTCAAAGTTGTTTCATCTTCAAAGAAAGGGCTTATGACAGTGTTTTGGTCTGATTCATATGGAAATTTTGCAACAGGGTTCCACTATCAACTCTGAACGATACCCTGAGAAAACTTACAGCGCGGCTGTCACGAGTTCGGCACGGAAAAAAATGCAATTTTGCACCACGACAACGACCGTCCACACACGAGTCGACAAACTCAAGATGCCATGAAAAGTCTCAAATTTCAAGAGACCTTACCGCACCCATCATACAGTCCAGACCTTGCTCCATCTGACTTTTATCTTTTTCCTGAGTTGAAGTAAAACGTTATGCAGATGTCGATTAAGTTTAAGAAGATGTGCGTTGGTGGTTCAGAGGAAAACCACATGCATTTTTCGCCTACGGCATGCGACAACTTATTCGACGTTGGCGGATCTGCATCGACAAAGAAGGCGACTATTTTGAAAAGTAAAGGTACTGTCATGCAGCACACATTCTAAGCTTTCATTTCGTGTATACCGTTTGTATGTAGCATCAGAAATAAAGAAACTATGAACTTGGAGGCAAAACTTTTTGAACAACCAGTGTATTATTTGAAACGGTTTAACCTGGATTCGTCCACTTGGTCACTTGTGGCATACACATAAACAGGTTAGAGCATTACAGTAGATCTAGTATTTATCACACAGAAAGAGGTAGAACAAAACAAATTGGTAAAGGAACCGCTAAAAATTAGCCTATAACACAATGGGATTCCCTGGACGGTATTTCGGTGCAATGCGATCAAGGCATTCTTCGTGAAGTAACAGAACAGTTAACTCAACATTCCTTGTCAATGAAAGTAAAAACATCCCCGAAAGATCGGGTTTTTCATTAGAGTAAGTTTTAAAAACTAACTAATAAGATATAATTTGTGTTTCCAATTTATATACACTAATATTTTTGAAAAATTTTGTTCTTAAAATAAAACTGATTCATTATCATTTTGAAAGTAAGCTACGCACCGCTATCTCTACTGTCTCCAACAGTAACAGACTTATTGCCCCTATTCATAGGTGTTGACTTGTGATTGGTTCTAATTAGTGACCGCCTTATTGCTTACGGTGAAGTTGTCCTATTTTGCATGCTGATGGTAAAGAATGCCCTACTTGTATTTTAACTTATAATGGGTCAAATATATTAGCTCTAAAGGTATTGATTTGTATCCTTTACTCTTCTAAACTCGTATTCCTTTTCTTTTCAGATAAAGGCAATATAAAGAATGAGAAAATGATGTCAGTATAACACTATTTTTTACTCCAAAACTTCTTTTTTTATACAAGAACAATTAATCGGTCTTGTGTGAGTGTTTGCTTAAACACATGTATTGAAAAAGGCACACAAACCCTCTCATCTCATAAACCAGTCTCCGTGAACCAGAGTGAAAACAAAATCTTAAGGTGGTGAGGACTTGATAAATGTGTGATCTCTATGAATCCACTCAGAGGACAGATGTCCCGTAGAACTATTCCATGCACCTTCTGATTTTTCACAATGCAATACTTTGAAAAAAACAAAACAACCCTGAACTTTAAATCGCAAGAGACAACGACAAGACATTTCTAGAGGTGATCCAAAATGTTGCGCCCTGATTGTGTAACAGATACAGGAAAGAGGCTCAGTAGCGTGGCTACCTGACACAACAGCTTGAAAAAAGTGAAGAAATGGCCACATCACTCTTGAAACGTAACTGTATAACACTGCTCAAGAATCTTTTTTAAAATCTGTATAGTCCAACAACTTATGGTTTAGCTTTAATTCTGATTTACCACGCACATAGAGAAAGGACGAACACAGTCATCAACATACTCATGCACGGGGTCAAAAGGAGCTGAAATTTGACAGATATTCTTCTCAAACGTGATGCCGATACATGCATCTTTCACTTTTCCACAAGAAATTGCCAATGGAAAAACTTGCTATTGTCATCGTTGATAAGGATCAGTTCTACTCAAAGCCGATCCATCATGAGGTGATGTGACTTGAGCTGATTAAGGGGGGGGGGGGGGGGGCTACACCCCCAAAATCAAAATTCAGCTCAAAATCAAGGAATTTGAGATGTAGGCATGTTTAGCTTCCTCAGCCTCTCCTACAACTATTCCATGGCATAAGAACCCCCCAAAACCGTATTTTTTCCCATACTGGGCATGTTTGTAACCGCCATTTCCTCATAAAGTCAGTATTTTCTTTTTCTTTATCGGCCGTTTTCTCAAAATGCGACTTTTCTATATACTTTTTTGAATAACTCCACCATTTTTCATTCAATCTTCATGAAACTTTCACAGAATGAAGAAAAGAGGTAATACTAAAAATGTGTCTGTTGAATTATTGATATGTGGAACAGATTTTTGTTGGTGGTGTCTGGAGTGCGGATTTTCACGGATTTTTCGCAAACTCAGAAAAAAATTCATTAAAAATGTTCTAAATCGATTAGGAAATAGACAATAGACGAATTTTTGGATCTAATGTTTGTGAACACGCATGCAAAAAAACAATCAATTTCCAAGAGCAATAAGTGCGATATTCATTACGTAAAACATGTCAATAAAATCCAATATGGCGGCGTATAGATGAAAACGAAACTTTTTTCTCAAATTTGATTGCGGATTTTAAGATTCCTTACTATGCTTGTAATATGTGTGAAATTTGGTAAAATTCGGCCCAGTAATAAGCGAGATAGCCTCCAGATGTAGCTCCCCCCCCCCCCCCCTTAAACAAAATTTACCTACAGTTTTAAGAAGCCAGTGAAATAAATTATGACAATCAAGGTCCCCTACTAGTAATATTGAAAAACGAAATCACTGCAAAGCTGAAGATTAAACGATCTAAATGTCCAATTGGAAGTAACAGTGAACCAGAAGTCCATCCGGAAGTTCTTCAACGCAACTGACTCCGGAGTGCAGTACAGGTCTTATCGCGTGCAGACAATGATGACAACAGATCTCCCTCAGACGAACAACAAGCTCCATCACATGGTGGGGATAAAAACAGGCTCTGAACCTCCTCTAAAGAAAAGTTAATTATATAAGCATGCAACATACCTTGAGCCATCAACTAAGTCTGTCGTTCTGCATGATGTCGTAAACAATTTACGCGGTTAGTGCAAGAAAATCCACACTTTTTGCCTTTATGGTTAGCGACAAGCTTAACATACAAAATCCTTGTCAAATCAAAGAGGAAAACCATACTTTATTTAAGGATATCGTTCCATATATTTGTATATTTTTTAATTATTTTTTTGGGGGGGAGGGGGAGGGGGGGGATTCATTTTTTGAAAGGCTTACGAATACGTTTCTTTCAAACTCTCTTAAGGAACTGGGTTGGCTGACTTTCGTGGTGGCAGCCTGAATTGTATACCAAGCTTTCCTAGGGAAACATAACGGAAGATAGTGTTGGGTGTATTCTTTTGTTGAGAGAAGCTGTTGTCCATGACAGATTCATCAGCTTAGGAAGCAGAAATCTTTCAATGTAAAGGACAACCTAAATGTTTTCAATGCAACCCAAGAACTCGTATTGGTGGCTACAATGCAGCTTGGGAGAATGTTGAAAAAAAGGAACTAGCCAAGCAAGTGTATGAGCAGCCTGACACAGACATGGACAAGTTTTAGGTGTCAGCTGGAGAT